TATATATATATATATATCTCAAAAGATATTATCACTTTTTAATATCTAAAAACTATGTTATGAGTGACATGAAATATTTAGGACCATGATGTTTACCCTAAAATTGGATAACAATTAAATTTGTATGCGATTTTAAAGATACATGGTTTGATTCAACACAAATAATTAAGAACATTAGATAAATGTATTAAAGACAAAATAACCGATCAAACCAATTGTAATGTTATGGCCAAGCCTGAACTAAGATTGAACAGTGATCTCGTCCTCGATCGGACTCTCGGTTCGAGCCAAGTCGTGAATGAAGAACAGGACAAGTGAACAAGAACTTTATCAGTATCTAAAAGATAGAAAATAAACTTGAATTGCTTTGGTTCGCGTGCTACGGTATGTGCTACAAAAGAAAATTTTCCCCTTCATATAGTAGGATAGTTTCATCTCTAGTATAAGTCTACAAAAAGGTAAAAATCTTCCTTTCTCGTTAATTACGGATCCATAACCGATATCGAGCGAGATCCGCGAGGTGATATCCGATTAGCTGCCAATATCACGGCCCTCTATCCGTCGTGTATTGCCGTTTACCATATTTTTTGAGGTCTTAGAACTCATTCTTGGCCCGGGATGCGTCACTTTACCACATCCGATGATGAGCACATCGTTCACTTTTCCTGGATCTCGATACGAGGGGTTTCCAACCTCGATTACAATCTCGTGCATCCGTGCCTTTCTTCCGTTTTCTCACCGAAAAATCGGGATAGATATTTACCCCCGATTTTACCCATACACACATGATATATTATGTTACGTTTAGTATTGCTAATTTGCTATACATAATAATATGTCAATTTTAATTTCTGAAATTTCGTCTTCAATTAGACACTAATATTTATTTTTCACAAAAGAAATGGAAAAGTAAAAAAGGTCGGTAAAGATTGTACACATAATCTCCCAATGTACCACAGTTGTACACCCACGCCCTTAAAATTGGCATCTACTGACAAAGAATTCACTGCTCATGCACTCATCTCCTCAGCAAATAGACTCAATTGCCGACCCCATTTATAGATAGATTGCAGATTTCTAGAGCTAGTGAAGAGCAGTTGCAGCGGTTTAGCCGAGTAGGACTGAGTGCAGTGACTGATCAGTTTTCAATCCTAAAAAGAAAACCCACCACGAATAAACTGCCACATTTTATAAAGCCAGACGTTTTCATCTAAACCACTGATTTTCACGCACACGCGCCTCCACTGATTGACCTTTTTCATATTCTTTCTTTTTCTTCATAATTTTTTCTCACAATATTCTGTAATACTCCTTGGGTTGTTTCAAGAAACTGAAACAAGAGTAAAGGGTGGATAAAGGGGGAAAAAAGAGCCTAAAGTGTAGTGGGTTGTGAAAAAGGACAAAAACCCACTACGAGGTAGAGAGTTAAAAAAGTACTACTAATAGGAGCACTAGAACAGTGAATCAGACTTTCTAGACTTTTATTTTATTTTTGGGGGGTATTATTTAATTTTTCTTTTTGTTGAATAACTGCTGATATATATGTTGGTCTTTGTCTGCATGTAAGGCTTTGGGTCTTTATGATGCAAAGAAATCGTTTTGCTGAAATAATACAGTGTGAGGATTCACAAAGAAACAAAAGAGGGGAAAAAGCAAAGTGAGAGAAAAAAGATGACCAAAGACCTCTATAGGCCTTTGTGTGATTATTTTTTTTGTTGCTTGTGTAAATGTTTGGTCTTGATGATGACTATTGAGGTTTCATGTCGGTTCTCAGATATGAGGGATTCTTGCTGAAAAAAAATTGCCTTTTTTTTTTTTTTTTAATCTTTCTCTTCTTCTTTGGATCCTTACTTTATGGTAGAGTTGTAAGTTTCCAAGACAAAGAAAACAGTTTCTGGGGTTGGTTAAAAATTGAATCTTGAGCTTTAGAGTTTATGTTAATGGTGGATTCAAGCTGAAACTAATCAAGGTGTGTATTCTTTGTTGAAAATAAAGTTTGACTTGTTTCTTGATGATCTTGAAGTGTAAAGTTTGAAACTTTGCTTTGATTTTGGTGCAGGAAAAAAAAAGATCTTTGTGCTAAAGAAAAGTTCAAGAATATCCAATAACAAAGTTATAATGGCAGATTATGGTTCTTTACCATCTCCAACAGATAACTGTAGAAAGACCTCTTCCTCTTTTTTTGGTTCACCAAGGTTGTTCACTGGTTTTGCTACAAAGGGCTTTCCTGATACTGAGTCTATTATGAGTCCTACTTCAATACTTGATAGTAGTAAACCTATCTCTGCTTTTAGAAACCCTTGTTGGTCTGATTCTAACTCACACACTCCAAGATCCCCTAAACCAGATAGTAGAGTTCATTGGGAGAAGCTTGACTCAAAAGGGGTTGGTCTTGGCCTTGTTGATGCTCTCATTGATGAAAAATCTGATTCCAAAGAATTGAATCCTGTGAGCAGAATGGTTGTCTTTGGCTCACAATTGAAGATTCAGATCCCTACAACATTGCCTCCCTTTTCTAGTTCCCTTACTGATTCACCACCTTCTCCTGGTGATTTTGGTATAAAGACTAGAAATTCCCAGTTGGGTTCTTTTTCCCCATCTCCTATGAAGAAATCTCCATTTGGGTCCTCAAATTCTAACATGGACATCCCAAATTCACCAGGGGCATTCAGTAGTCTCTCTGCCGCTGAGATGGAGCTTTCTGAGGACTACACTTGTGTCATTTCATATGGTCCAAATCCACGAACCACTCACATATTTGATGATTGCATTGTTGAGAGCTGTTGTGGTGTTGTTAAGTACTCTGCTTCAAGAAAAGAAAATGAGCATTTTCCCAGTCTGCCAATGAGCTATCCCTATCCCTATCCCTCTGGGAGCTTTCTCAGCTTCTGTCACTCTTGCAAGAAAAATCTTGGATTAGGGAAAGACATTTACATGTACAGGTAACCCAAATTTTCTATTTTAAAATTTCAAACTTGCCTATAAGCTATGCTCATATTTTGATCGGTTTATGAGTTTATTAATCTGGTCATGAGGGTGAGATTTTTCCCTTTTCATGATTTAATTGTTATTCGAGACTTGTTTTAGTACTGTTTCTTGGGCATGGTAATCTTGACACATCCTTACAAATTTCTTGTAGCATTTAGAGTTTCTCCAAAGGTTCTGTATTCTGTAAAAGAGCATTTAAAATAGGAGACTATTTTAAAGTATCTTATATGTTTAAGTTTAATGGTTTATTTTAAAGTACTTGATAATTTCAGTTTATAAGTTTATTAATCTGGCATGACTCATGAGGGTGAGATTTTTGCTTTTCTTTTTCACGACTTAATTGTTGTTTGATACACCTTTTTAGAACAGTTTGCTCTAGGACAAGGTAATCTGGACATTCTCTTTGCAAATTTCTACTAGCATTGAGAATTTCTATAGGGCTCTGTACAATATTATCAGAGACTAAATCTAAAAGTTACCGTAGATGTTAAAGTTTCACACCTTGTTCTGCAATCTTATATTTAGTACCTTAAAGATTAGTAATACATCGATTAAAACTTTTGAAATTTTCCTTTTTGTAAGAACAATATGTGATGCATTATGTCCTGAGTTGTATTTTTGTACTGTGTTCTTTTTAGAGGTGAGAAGGCATTTTGTAGCAGTGATTGCAGATACAAAGAAATGATGTTGGAAGAGGGAATGGATAAACCAGAGACCGATGATGTATATGGTATTATTTCCTGATAGTAACTGAGTCACTCAAGGCTGATGGCAAGTTTTATCTGTAGTAGCAACTTGCAAAAAAGAAGTGAAGGCTTTAGACTTGAGTGACTATTGCAGATTCAAAAACTGTTTTTTGTAAATTGGCATAATTGAATCTGTTTAGATGTATCTGTCTTTTTTTGTTTTTTGTTTTCGGTTTAGGGGTAAGAAAATGTCTTTGTTGAGGAACAGGAAAGCTGATGAGATAATATTAAACTGATTGATGAATTTTTATTTGAAAGAAAAGATGTAGTAGGTGATTATGTGTCTGACACTACTTTGTATGCTTTTTTAAAGTTTATATAATGATGTTGATTGATGATGTTAGAGTAAAGTTGTTGGCATTATCTTTGATTATGGTATTATAATATACACTAATCAATCCCATAATAATGCACACATCATCATAACCAATGACCTCAATTGAGTAGATTCTTTTCTCTTCTTTGGGATGTCCTCTTTCATCATTTGTTGATTGGCCAAGTTAAAGCTATTTTGACCAGGCTTTCATATTAGACAATTCAGCTAGAAACTATCATGGTGTAGTATTATACAATAAATTATTTTACCTATGCTATTGTTTAATGAGTGTGACAACCTAGATAAAATTAAAAAAGGAGATAAGGATCAAACCCTAAAAGATTGGGCTAGTGGCCTCGTGTAGCTACTACCGTGTGTTCTTTGTTAAGTTCCATATAAATTTTAAACTTATATCACTAATATATGGGTTCATCCACTTCCTGCATTGTTCATAGAATTTTTAAATTGCACTTTTTAGCTTTGTCAAATATTGAAAAAAAATAAAATTAAAAAGAGTTTAAAAGCCGATTTGACCATAGTTTTAGTTGTGCATTTCAAGTGAAGTTTTCAAAAATTCAACTTTCACCCACAAATGTTGTACTTTAACAAACTTCTTTTATTTCAAGAAAGTTACAATTACTCAAACACAGTCGAATTCAGAACCACTATTTGTTCTGTTCGGATAATATGTTAAATTGTGTCTGGCATCATTTATGAATTTAAAGTTATAGAAAAGATGAATTTTATTTTTTATTTTTTCTCAACAAGTTGTTAGTCTGTGGAAAATGTTATGAGGAGCTAATTGGCAATGTTGGGCTAATAGTCTTAGCACCAATTATATGGTGCTGAGTTTATGAACCTGTAATACGCCAAAAAACATTTAGTAGTACTAGAAAGAAAGCAGATGAAATATATTGGTCCCGAAGAGTAAAGGAAATCTGAAGGTATATGAAGATGGTTGGAGAAGAGGAAACAGGCATGGGACTGATAACTGGTGACTGATGAAATCTGAGAGAGAGCTGCAACAGTCTACAGTACTGTTGGGAATTGGGACCATTACGGCATTATGTAACTCATTTACCAACTTCCCACTCTACAGTACTCTTTTAACCTACTTCTTGGCTTCTTGCCCTTGTTATTCTCTCCAATTTTACCCCTAAAATTTTACCCCCTAGGGGCAGCAGATGCATTGTATGATAGAAGGGTAAGGATGTTTCTAAACATGTGAGACTAAACCTAGCCCGCCCATGTCTGACCCAACCCAGCCCATAAGCATATTGATCCAGCCCGTCCTCTTTAAAATTAACGGACCAAGGCTGGCTTAAACTTGTAAATTGATCGTAGTCGGCCTGAGATTCTTTTTAGAGAAAATGATGAGAAATTGGCACCATGTGACAACATATAATAGTAATTGGTATATTTTTGGCCTTAGATTATATTTGGCAATGCAGCCCAAAATAATTAGCATTATATAGCCGAATCAAAAAACCCTACTACACTATGTATTCTCTTTATGTAACCCCCTCTCTACCTCTCTCTTGTGGTCTTCCACTCCCTTTCTCCTCCCAATTCCACCACAAAACTGCCGAAAACCGCCACTCGATGGCCTTCACTGCCTCCATACTCAGTATCTCTTCTGTCTTTCTTCACTCTTATCGTTCTTGTTCGGGCAAGACTCGACACAAACAAGAATCTGTCAATATTCAAAAACTCAAGGCCACAAACTGATGAATTCATCCCAATGTGAAATACTTTTTGTTTCTAATTGTTAGACTACAATTCTTGGGAATCGTTTTTAAAGTTTGAACTTGAATGGCTAGTATGGTTTTCTTTTTCAAGAGTTAATTGACAATTGATCACGTAAAATTAAGCACAAAAAAGTCTTCTGTCATAGTGACAATTCAAAAATTACAGAGAAAATTATTTGAGGATGTTCCAAATCATGAACTTATTATTTCAAGTCGATTTTTTTTTATGTTCCTCAACGCCACGGCCGGACAAGATTTATATGTTTCTGCCAATGGAAGGAAGAGGCGAGGGTCAACATCACTATGTATCTCAGTGTTAGTGGGCTGCTACTTTTTGAAGACCATAAAGGAGGAGAAATTGGCATACAAATAAGGAAAATAAATTTTGGTATATATATTTGTGTATATCTACAAGAAATTGTGTTATACAACGAGATACACAAAGAAGAAAAATAAATTTTTTGATATACATTGTGATATACAAAGAATAAAAATAAAATTTTGATATATAATTTGATATACACAAAGAAGAAAAATAAAGTTGTGATATACATTTTGGTATACACATTATTTTTAATGTATTATACAATTATACAAATAATATAATTATTTTTGTGTTATGCATTTAGATATATTCAAAGAAGGAAAATAAAATTTTGATATATATTTTGATATACACAGAAGGAAAATAAAGTTGTGATAACATTTAGATATACATTTTATTGTTGTGATATACATTTATTAGCCATCTGGTGCCAATATTTATAACTATGGGCTTTTTTCTCCTAATTATGTGGGTACGTTGTCACACCGTGTCAAAATCCCAAAAAGGATGCTACGTGTTTTCTAAAATTTTTATGACCAAAATGCTTTATTTTTTTTAAATATAACATAATATGCCCTTTTAGAAGATTTTATTACATGGTTGCTCCCTCCTTCGTATGTGTAGGCTCCACAAAAGGCTCCTCCTCTTTTTCCTTTTTGTTTTCTTTATTTTTTTCGCTTTTTTGTTTTTTTCACTTTCTTTTATTTTTATCATTTTATTGTTGTTTTTTCACTTTGTTCTTTTCATATAATAAAATAATACAATCTTTTTCCGTTTTTATTTTTTGTGTTTTTTAGTAGTTATTTTCCTTTTTTGTTGTTTCTAATAACAATCCCTCACGTTTTTTACTTTATTTTTTTCTTGTCTTAATTTTCTTTTATTATTTGTCGCTATATTTTTTATTTTTTAAATTTTAGTTTTTCTAGTAAAATTTCTTTCTCCAAAATAATGTCACTCCCTTTTACCTTCTTTTAAAATTTTCCATTTTATTGTTGTTTTTCATTTTTTTTTCTTTCTAATAAATTTTGCCCGTTTTATTCCTTTTGAGTTAATTTTTTTTGTAGTAGTTATTTTTTCTTTTATTTATTTCATTATTTATTCTTTTTATTATTTCCAGTAATAATCCTCTAACCTTTATTGTTTTTCTTTTCCTAATTTTTTAATTGTTTTTCGGGTGTATTTCATTATTTTGCTTAATTTTATCCTTTTCTGTCCAAAACATTTGTCCCTTTTTCACTGTTATATTTTCAGTAAAATTCATTTGTCCAAAATGTTTTTTACTACTTTCTTTCATTTTTGTTATTTTTGTTCTTTCTAGTTAAATAGTCGAGTCCTAAGATTTGTATTGAAATACTTTTTAAACTATCACTAATCGATTATAATTACTGAGAGTTATTGTGTTATATTTTTTTATTTTTTATTTATTTTATGTTTGTAGATGACTTTTTTTAAATAATTTTCTGATAAATTTTAGACTTTTTAAAAATTCAAAAATTGTCTCGATTCTTTTTTATTTTATGATATATCTATACTAATAGTATATTGTTAATACCATTTAACATACTACTAATCATAGTATATTATACCTCAACATTAATCATAGTACATTAAATATTCAAGTGTAATAATGGTATATTACACAATATACCAAAAATATTGTGAATACCACTTTATATATCAGTAATTACAGACAAGATTATGAATGCCATTTAACATGCCAGTTATTATAGTACACTAAAAATATCATGAATACAATTTAATATACTAGTAATCACAATATACCAATAATATTATGAATACCATTTAATATACCAGTAATCATTATATCATAATTCAACAGTAATCACAATTTACTATGATTCATTGTAATCATGGTTTACAATGCAAAAATATGTGAATACCTTTTATATACCAGTAATTATAGTATACCATGATTAAACTATAATTATGACATACTATATATCAAGAATATTTTGAATACCGCTTAATATGCTAGTAATCACTGTATACCATGATTCGAATATAATCATAGTATACGATGCAGTATACCAAAAATATTATGAATATTATTTAAATTCCATTAATCACAATATACCTTGATTTAACTATAATCACAATATACTATATATACAAACAATAGTGTGAATACCGCTTAATATACCCGTAGTCATAGTATACTATGATTTAAATGTCATCATAGTATACTACACAGTATAGGATATCAAGAATACTGTGAATATTAGTCAACATACTTAAATAAAGTATATCATAGTTTACCAGTATTCATAGTATACAATGTAGTGTACATACTAAGAATTTGGGAATACCATTTAACATTAAGAAAATTCTTGACAAGTTAACAATTTTGTTTTATTAACAACTGAAATAATATATTAACTACATTAATACAAACGAAAATGCGTTCTTCCNGAGGGGGAATTTTGATATAAATATCAAAATTAAGAATACACGCAAAGTAGACAAGGTTCGGTAGTTTGCTCGAAAAATAAGAACATGAACAAGATAACCAAGATGATAAAATCAATAAGGGGTAAACGACATGGAGGACGGTTTCACTCTGATATAGTAAAGCAGTGCTAGAGAAAAACAATCTAAAAATATAATTTTAAGGAAGATGAATTGAACAAGGAAGATATAATTTGATCTCTATTATTGGACTTGAACATTAACCAATGCCAGTACGAGCATATACCTAATATTAGCTTTTAAGAATTTGATAAAGACTAGTCGACCATGACAAGAGAGATAGACACACGATTCAACTGCAACTCAAGCCAAGGCGGACATTAATGAGTTACGGATTAGGGAGAGGTAATATAACTTCTGTGTTTACCCTTAAAATAGATAACAATTAAATTTGTATGCGATTTTAAGGATGTGTGGATAGATTCAATACAAGAAAACAAGAATGTTAGATAAACGAATTAA